ACCTTCTGTCCAGTAAGCTTCGTCTCCACTTTCTTGAAGTTGAGATGAGGTCTATCTGGTTCTTGGTGTGTCCATCTGGTGAAATCCATGTCGTCTTGTGTATATCCTTGTGTTTGAACACACCGCCACCAATCACCCAATCATTGAAGGCGCAGAAGTCTGAGAAGAGTTCACCATTGTCGTTCATTTCACCGAGGGCCTCACGACCCATGGTGAGTTCTCTTCCTGTATTGTCTCCTCCCAGCTTCGCATTCATGTCGCCCATCAGGATTTTGATATCACCATTTGGGGTGTTGTCCATTATTGCTGGTAGTTGTCTTTAGAACGCCTCCTTCTTCTCTTGTTCTGAGACGTTTGTAACCGCATAGCGTTGGATGACTGTAACCTTCCTTCCTTTTGAGTCGAACCTGGCTTTCATTATCCTGGAGGAGATTGGTTCCCACTGCATGAGAACTTTGGCTGCTGTCGATGACATCATGATGGCCACTCCCTCGGTGTGCTCGTGGTTATCCTCTGGGTGACCGGAAGAGATTACTGTCTCCCCAGTTGGTAGTTGGCACCTACCACATCCGTTCCATCTGCTGTCGCAAATTCCCAACACTCCTATTCCATTCATTCTCATTTCTGCTGCTACCAGGGCAGCCTTTCCAGTTTCGTATATTGTGCGAACATTCCAAGTCCCGATTCTTATTTTTGCTTTCATCGAAAGGAGGCACATAGGCCTCCTGGTTTCCCGAAGGCTTTCACCGGCCTGAGTCATTTCCCTTCCCCGATTCTAGCGAAAAATAAGGTCATAGTTTATATTTTTAGAATTGTTAATATATTTATGCGTTGAAGTTTCTGTAGCGATTTGGTTAAGTTTTGGGGGTGGAGTTGCTAACACCATGCCCCAACCCTTCCTCTTTATCCGGGCTTGGGACCGGTTAGAAAACTAGCGAACTAGTAATCTAGGCGAGGTTATGATCATATATATATATATATATATATATATATATATATATATAGGAATATCAAACTGTTTATAGAAGCTTAAAATACAGTTTTATCAGCAGTCAACACATCAGCTAACAAAGTTGATGAAAGACATCTCACATAATCAAGGAAAACTTTGTGAAAAACAATGGAAATTAATTTTCAGTCAGAAGTTAGTAAGACTGACAAAAACTTTTTTCTTCGGTCTCCGAGTTTATCAAAACAAAATACTGACAGATATTAGAATTACATCCCGATAAATGTCATTTTTCACGTAGTACAATGATTGTATATGAAGAAGACATGAAAATGGAACTTTATTTTATAAACTAAGCTGCTAAAATTCCTTTAAATGTGATTGTGCATTGGTATCAAATATGAAATCTGAAAATTAATTCACGACTTCTAATTTACACAGGTGGTTAGCTAGAACTCTGGTGCTTTGAACTCTTTCGGCTCTGTGAGCTAAGTCAAACTGGTCCAACGACTGATGAATTAGATTTCGAACCAGTGAAATGGCCAAAAGATGTTTAGACCACTTCAATTTAGATAGCAAGCATTTCTGCGTTGGTGGTAGATAAAATATGTACATTGGCGTGATCGACAGAAATGGTAAAATCGATAAAACACTAGCTCCTTTTTATCCTTTTTTTAATGGGATCATCGCATACGCTAAATTAGTTCATACTTATTGAATTGGATTTTTGATTTTCCCGTCGATTGATTGGACCGAAGTGCTCGGTCTCAGGTTGACATGTCGGCTTCTTGTGCAGATGCTTCGACGATGTCTGGGTATTTAATTTGTATACGATTGGTGGATGGTGGCTCGTTTCTCCTTAAGATTACTACTATTCTTTGTATCAATGACGTAGAGTAATGGGGAGATAAGGATATTAGTGTGTGTGTGTGGGGGGGGGGCTAATGCTCATCATCTATTTCACTAAATGACTATCATGCTAGATCAAGAATTGTCAGAAGTTCGGAAACATAGATGACTGCAATTAGAGTATCTGGCTAAATGGTAACATACTTCTCATGTGGCATGGAAGGCTTAGCTCTTCATCTTGTCTTGGCGATAGTCTTACTTATCCACTAGTGAACATGATTTTGAGCAACATTTACAATTTCATTTATTTGAAACTCTATAGAGTCAAAAATGAAATTTAATACGCTTATTATATAAAAATCATCAAATTTAATGTACACATCTATTGATAATAATAATTTTTACTTTATCCCAAAAACAGTACTAATGATACAGCAAGGAATTTTCAGCATTCAGTACAATATTGCATCTAATTTACTCAAAAACGACAAAGAAAATTAAAAATACACATTACATAATAATAATATTAAAACGAATGTTATAGCAGCTACATAGCAAAATACTCTATGCAATACGGAGAAGAATATGCATAAAGTATAAAATTGTAGTAATAATAGTAATACCGACTAAAATAAAATAGCAGAATTATGATTAAACGATAGAAAGGGTGACACCATAAAATACAGAAAGATGAACGATGAAAGGGTCGATTCAATGTGCTAATTACATAGTAACTTATGTGTTTCATGTCTAACAGAGTCTTCGTCACATAAAGTACGGGCTAAATAGGGTGTTGTAGAATTTCTGTACTTAGCGGTACGAGCATATAACTTTTTATATTGATTTCTCGTCCTACCTGATGAGATACAAGGGGACAGGTGTGAATAAAGGGGGTGCAGAGGGTCTGACAGTATAGCCTTTGCCCATTTTGTACAGGAATTTATATGCCTCTCGACTATAGTATTAGCGAGCTCATGCAGTGGCAGACCACAAGCCCTACTCACAGCATTTAATACTCTTCGTAATATGATATAGTCTTTTTTGAGAAGCCCAGGAAAGATTAATGGAGAGCAATAGAGTACAATAGGTAAAATATAGGAGTTTATAAACAGCAGAAGTAAAGGTTGGTTGATACCTGATTGTCTTAACTTTTTAATGTAGAAGGTAAGACGAAACATTTTCTTAGAGATAGATAAGATGTGGGATGACCATGAAAGGTCAGAGGGAAGAACTAATCCAAGGTATTTAATGCTTGACTTGGTTTCAATTTCCGTGCCATCTATGCTACAGGGATCATGCGAGCTAACTAGTTCATGTAAGTCACGTCGATGCTTGAAAGTAAAGTCAAGTGCCTGACATTTGGAAGGATTTAACATAAGACCATTTGACTTAGACCACTTGTTGATGTCCAACAGAAAGCTATTAAGTTCGGAGCTGTCAGACTCGGAAGTGATAGGCAGTGATACAGTCAGATCATCTGCATATTTGACAAAGTTAGTTTCGTTTGAATGAGGTAGGTCATGTAGGAAGAAAGAAAAAAGAAAAGGAGAGAGGACAGCACCTTGTGGAACACCGGATTTTGTAAGCGAGGTAGAAGAAGATTTGCCATTATATACAGTATACTGCATTCTATCAGAAAAATAGGAATGCAACCAACCTTTTGCCCAGGATCCTGTTTGTGTCAACGATAGCTTATTTATTAAAAAGCCCCTAGGTACAGAGTCAAAAGCAGATGTGTAGTCTAAGAAAGCACTACGAACATATTTGGCACCTTTGTCTAAACAAGAAACAACATTGTGATATAAGACAACCGCAGCATCCAAGGTACTTCTACCATGTTTGTATGCGAATTGTTTAGGATCATTAAAAGGTTTCATTGAAGGTTCAAGACGAAGTAAAAGTAATTTTTCCATCAATTTTAAAAAAGGAGAAGTAATTGCAATAGGCCTAAATATAATAACAGTACCAGAAGATGGTTTTGGTATGGAGATAATTTTAATGTTTTTCCATGCGAAAGGTAGAGCGTTACCGGAAAAAGAAGCATTAAAAATGTTAGTAAGAGGGTAACACAAAATATCAGCACAATTCCTGAGGACAATGGCAGGTATGCCGTCAGGACCAAGGCTTTGAGAAGGCTTAAGAGACTGGAGACATTTAAGCACATCAAGGGTATTAAAACCACTAAAATCATTGTCAATATGATTTGTTTCATTAGGAAGGATATCAACAGAAGAGCGTATGAAAGACTTATTAAGAGTGTCGACATTAAGAGATGGGACAGAAGTACATCGCTTACCGCTAGTAATTTCTTTGAAAAGTTTCCACAAACTAGAAGGGGTTTTATATGACAAGAATCTCTGGTTATATAAAACACTTAGTCTTTGCATTTCGGATTTTATCAGAGTATTTAGCACTTTTACACCTAACTTATCATTTGTTTTCAACAACGGTTCTTTATCTCTACGTAGCTCTTTGAGTTGTGGAGAAGAGAAACGGTCAAATCGAATGAATAATGTTTCTTTAGGACAACAAATTTCGAGACAGAATTTATGATAATCTGTAGTGTTTGTGATTGTGTCATCTGATATTTGTTCTGTAAATGTGTCCCAGTTAGTTTCTTACAACATGCATCTGAGCTTGCGTAAGTTGTCTTGAGAGTTGCATCTCCGTTGAAATTTACTGTGGAGGTGAGAGAGGACACCTTTGTGTGATTTGGAATATATTTTAGGCAGTACACGTATGATACAGTGGTCAGAGTTAAGTAAAGGAGCACGTTTGCCAGCTTCATATATACCAACATCATTGATAAATACTAGATCCAGTGTTTTACCAAGACGAGTAGCAAAGTTAACAATATTGTCATGACAAAGTGATATAAAGAAGGAGTGGTCGCATGCATTGAAGTCACCAGTTACTATAGATAAGGAGTTCTCGAAACAAGCTGCAGCAAAAGCGGTGAATTCATCAGCAAACATAGATTAATCCGATATGGTACAGCCAAGAGAGACATAAACAGTAGAAATATAAATGAATTTGTATTTTGACAGGTGTTTCGGGTGACATCTCACAGTGATGCAATCAATGTAGTCATTCAAGAATTTGAAACAAACTTTGTTACAAATGGAATAGCTATGGATTCACTTTTGATTAATTCAATATTTTCTTATTTTCTTTTATTCTGCTCTTTTTTTTTTAAATGAAGGCATTGAAACAACCTTTGGATTCAGATAAACAATCTACTCAAATGACTTCTGAAAGTTAGTCAGTTTTTAAGCAGACAAATATGCGTTTGTTTGTTTTTCATAAAAATAAATACAGTATGTATTCGTCAACTAAGCGCAAGTATTTTATTTATTTATTTATTTTTGATTTACAGCTTGATTCCACACTGTACTTGTTTTTTGGTACAAGTATGGAATTTTCAGCATGGATATCAGTAGCCCAAAATTCCGCGGGCCGACCATAGATATCAGATGTGCGTCTGCAGGGGATCGAACCTCGGACCATGTGCATGATCGGCGAGAGTCCTAACCACTGTGCCATCGACGTACATGTGATAAGTTAATTTCTTTTTATTCCTTTAAATCCTCAGTGGAATGTATATACATATATATATATATATATATATATATATATATATATATATATATATATGTATATTTGATGATCGCCACCTTTGGAATTTACATATCAAGTTTAGAACAACACATTTAAGCGAACAATATTGTGCTTTCAATCAGATCTCATCAGGCTTAACTCTAATATATATAAGTTTACAAATAAAATTTCATATATATAGCAATCATGGTGTTTCGTCTATAGGATACTAAGACAGAGAGTATAAATTATGCAATTAGTCAGAATAGTAGTAATGATAATATTAATAATAGTAATAATAATAATAATGGTCTTATCAATAATAAGGATGAAAAAGTGAGGCAATCTGTGATAACACGAATAATCAAAAACAGCATGATTAAACAAACAATTGTTCAGGTGGGAGTAGTCCATAAAGGCTAGTAAAAAAAATGAACCGATTAAGGAGTGTTAGATTGTAAGGGAAGTAAATGAGATACGTTTATAATGAGGATGTGATAAGAGATTAAGGGATGATAAGAAAGTGCTTGAAGATATAAACAAGGGGTGGTGTAGATGTCATTAGTTGGTTATGTCTTAATAGGCCAACAAGGGAGAGACAATCGCTGTACAAACTTCTTTTGAATGCATAATTTAGGTTTAATAGTTTGATTGCCTATCACCTTAGCTGTGTGTAGTAGACGAATACGAAGTCTATTGGGAAGATTTAGTGGGATACAATGAATTATTTTGAAAGCTCTCGTTTTCCCCACTACATGACCACTATCAATTAGATGTGACAAAATTGAGCTACGGATTGTTTTTGTCTGTCCTTTGCCAAACCACCACGATGGGAGACGTTCACTAACACGTCGGCTAAGCCGTCTAGTAGTACGCCTAACGTAACTGTCACCGCAGGTGCAGTTGAATTGATAAATGCACATAGATGTGGCAAAACCTATCCTTCGTTTGGGTCCCAGTCATTCGTCGGCTAGAGAATGACAAACATAGGTGTGCTGCGTAAAACGTTCTTAGTATGCTCCTGGAAAGTCTCTTGAATAAAATCTCACTTGATAAGGCACCATTAAATTGCAACTTAATAAATACAGGCTTTTTTCTTGCAGTCAGAGTCTCAGGTTTTCTCTCTGATGTTTTCATATGTTTCTTTATGAAACTACTCGGATAACCCATCTCCGTCAAGGAATCGTGAATATATTCAAATTCCTTTTGTAAGAGGTCATCCGTACATATCTTTCTTGCTCTGCTCGCGAGACATTTTACAAGATTCCTTTTATATTTAATGGTCACGTAACTATGGAATTGTGTGTATTGCCCTGTGAATGTGCTTTTTCTATACACGTTTCTCCCAAGCGACCTATCTTCTCTCCTACCTAGCAAGACATCCAGGAAATGTAGTTTGTTCTCCTGCTCCTCTTCACAAGTAAAAGTTAGCGAAGGGTGGATGTTGTTGAATTTCAGCAGCAATTCGTCTATGTTAACATTCCCATCAGCTAAGATAAATGTATCATTGACATATCAGTAATACATATCAAAATCCTTGATGATGTCCTTTAATTTCCAGTTTTCAAGTTTTGCGAGAAAGAAATCAGCTAATATTGGGCCTAATGGTGAACCCATAGCTATTCCATCTACTTGTCGATAGTATGAAATAGTGAAGACAAAGTGAACATTCATTGTGCATTTAAGAAGTAATTCTTTGAGGTTTCACAAGGCTACCCCTTTCTTATCATGCCTTAGTCTTATCAAATGTTCATTATAAACGTGTCTCATTTACTTCTCTTACAATCTAACATTACTTAATCGGTTCATTTGTGTTTACTAGCCTTTATGGACTACTCCCACCTGAACGTTTGTTTTTTTAATCATGCTGTTTTTGATTATTCGTGTTATCACAGATTTCCTCACTTTTTCATCCATGATTGGTTTATATTTGAATTTTTATTTGTAAATTTATGTATATTAGAGTTAAGCCTGATGAGATCTAATTGAAAACAATATTATTCGCTTAAATATGTTGTTCTAAATTTTACTATGGAATTATTTAATATATATCAAGGTTACTTAAGAGATGCTTTGTCTTTATTTTATTTTTTATTTTGAAATTAATCGGCTGCAATAAAAAAATAGCCGAAAGAAAAACTAGTAACGTGAAGTTTTGCATAATTTGCAGCAGATCTTAAGTTAAGAAAAATTTTCAATCTAAATTACAGGTCACCAAGCTTAGTTGAAAGAAAAAAGACACATTGGCTAACTGGCTTCTCGAAGATTATTTCATCTGCACAATTCTAGAGAAGAATAAGTTTATTTGGAGAAAGTATTAAAAACAGACATAGTTACACGTTGAAGCGACCGTTCAGTGATATCACGTAACAGGGCCTCGAATGGAACCTAAATGGGAAATAAATATTTGGACATGGGTCTGAGGGTAATATGGAGAAGCTTATTTGAGGAGAAATGAAAGCTTATAGGTAAACGTGGAGCTGGGTAAAAAAGGCAGCAGAGAACCTTGTGGAATGGTAGTGTGCGGCTGAAGTCCCACATTCCATTCGGAACCCAAGGCGATAATGACAATTAAAAAAAAGTCATAATGAAAGTAAAAACAAGACATCAAAATGCTATGAGAATGTTAAGTGATAAGCAATTTATTTATTAACAACAAGTATAGCTTGTCTTAAGACTATAATAAGAAGCTAAGATATTAGGCACCTTGCTGATGATTACAGTACCGAAAAGATTAGCCTTTATTGTCATTTACAACTACCGTTAGCATTTTCCAGCATTGTTTGGTTTTACTTTACATTTGTACACCTGTGAACTTTAAGATCTTTCAGCAGACAGCTTAATTGAATTATATACAGATAGCTAGCATGCAATAAGTTTGAATTCACAGTTCTCTGAAAATACTGTTTATAAGAAGCCTCCAGATTTTATGGATGTACAAAAACAATAATGACTGCAAATACGAATGGCAGAAAACCAAAAAGAACTGAAACGAGTGAAGAATCTAATTTACACTAGGAGATAAGAAAAACAAGCCAGTGGAAAAACAATTATTCCTTGGGCATACACAAAACGCACTTGTTTCGTCCTAGTTCGAGATTCCCCAGCAGTACACATCCACTGCGGTCTGCATGCAGGATTTTCCATTAAGAAGTCTCCCTGTCCAATAGCCATCGGATTCCAACTTCTGCCGACTTTCGATAATGTAGCGCAGCCACCAGCTGATGTCATAGGTTAGTAACTGTTCTCTTATGTGACTTGGTGGTTCCCGCTGGTTATAACTTCTCACTGAAACTTGTCACTTACCTGGAACTCCAGGTAACTTTCTGTATCAAGTCAGTCACTAGTGAGCATTGGATTAATTATATGTAGTGTGAATTGACAGAAATTGGAATTCATGGACCATTGGATTGGGGTTCCAGTGGCTGAGTGGTCTACGAACTCACCTTGTGACCAGAAAGTCCTTGTTTTGAACCCCGGTGCGTGTGTAATAATGAAGAGTTTCAAACTGGGACGGGACAGCAGACCAGTACTCTCTGGTTTCACACTGGTTCTCTGATTGATATCAGCTCATGATCAAATCCGTCACAACTACAAATATTATAAAAGAAATATAATTGCATAGAATAAACTGCTTGACAAATAATACTGTTCAAGAGCAATAAATCTTTGGTTTTAGAGGCTAGTTATTATTGTATTCTCTGAGCCGGTTGATTTATTTCTAAAGCTTTGACTGTCTTCTTAGACAACAGATCCAAAGATGATTACAGTTAAGCAATCCAGCTGACAGAATACAACTACTCCAGTAGCTTCCATTTGACCTAAAAATCTTCTCATTTCTGATTTAAGCTAGTACGAAAATTAAACAACCAGCAGGGACGTAACTAGTGTGTATCGTTTCAAATTAAATCATTAAAACATTACTTTAATAATAAAATCAGTGAACCGACCCATGAACTTCCCATTTCAATGAAGAAAAATATCTATTTGTCAGTTTTACAAGATCAAGTGTAAACAGCATTACAGACCTGGCGATAGTACCACAAAGCAAATTATTACCATTAATAAACAACATTTCTATAGCACTTATTTTTCTTTCGTTGAAATATATTCTATTCTTTAGATCCCAAAAATGATATGGATAATTTTATGAAATTTATGATGCTTCAACAGCTACAGCAGCAAAATGTGTTATGGCAGTCAGCATTACTGAAAACATTTTCTAAAGGTTAGTAGTAATTGACGAGACAGAAAGTTACTGTTCCATATTATTCATGCATTTATTCTCCTTAATGAATTTGAATAAAGCGATAACAACAGTGGTTTGCGCAGAATAACATGGTATTATCCTTTATTTCATCGGCTTCTCATCATCTCAGCTGCTTACAGCCTAAATAAATTTTGAGGTTTAAGTACAGAAACGTTTTAACATACTTGCAAATTTTACATGTTGTCAGTTGACAGGAAGTTCCACAATTAGTAAATAGTGCTCAGAAAATTGCGCTCATATAGTTTTTACACAGGCAGTTCAAGTTAAAACAAAATAAATGTATGCATATAATGGTAAAGGAGTTACGTATAAAGATGAGATGTGCGTTAGATGCATAGTGACTAATAAGTTAAGTAACAATGTACTGAGTTGAACTCAAATCATAGGAACAAGAGACAAGCAAAATAACAGATTATAAAGGGGAGGGTGACGTTAAAGACAAAGATTACGTAATCAGATGCGAAAAAAAGGCATCCAGTTACCAAGGCAAGGAAAGACTAATAACTGCTTCTTTCTGAACACATAAATCTGGTTTCAAGCGTTTGACAGAAACTGCTTCGGCAAACTTGAGCTCCTTTGTCTATTGATAATTTTGAAGGATTTCTCGATTTCCACCTCATAACCCGTCTCGAGGAGATGTCTGGTAATAGCGCTACTATAAGTGTTTGTTCCCTTGAGACGTAGGCTTTTCGGTACATGTTCAGAAAACCGGAGGTGTGCCCTTCTTTCTGTTCTCCCAATTTTCTCCCAATGACTCTCGACGCGGGTCATGAGGTGGAAATCGAGTGTGTGTTTCAGCACCTTTTCGAGATTCGTAAATTCTTCCTCTAGTTTCACTGCAGAGCATATTCTCCTCGCTCTATAGTACAGAGTCTTGACTAGTGCTCGTTTATAGCTATTTGGACAAAAACTATTAAAATGTAAGTATTGTCCATTCCATGTGGGCTTTCGGTAGATTGAACTCTGGAGACTACCATCTTCTAGGCGGTGCATGGCGACGTCAAGGAAATGGAATGTTCCATATTGGTTTGTTTATTAGATGTATCACACAGTGATGAAACAGTATTATTTAATGGATGACACTTCGAACAAAATTTATTGTTCATAGTCATTTTATTGATTATAATCACACGACTTTGAAACTTCCGTTTTATAGTTTTCTTTGTTCTCTCCTATTTGTCGTCGAAGGGGGAGTAGAATTTTCCAGATATCTGGGTGGACAGGTGTTGAATCATTCCTATTACATGTATTTGCAGCTGATTTGATAAACAAAGCTTCTGTTATCAATCTCTCCTTCCACGCTGTGGCATAACAGTTTGAAACTGTCATCATATCCCACCCATCCTCTTGTATGGTTGTGTGTAATTGCATGTAGTGAGTGCTATAGCTGATCTATTCTTTAGATTTCTTATCTTATCTAGATTGGTTGACCAAAATAATTCTACTACCCCTACGACGACAAATAGGAGAGAACAAAGAAAACTATAAAACGGAAGTTTCAAAGTCGTGTGATTATAATTGATAAAATGACTATGAACAATAAATTTTGTTCGAAGTGTCATCCATTAAATAATACTGTTTCATCACTGTGTGATACATCTAATAAACAAACTAATATGGAATTCTTTACTACCACAGTGCCCAAGTTTTACACATATATTACAGAAGTTAGTGTTTCCTTATATTTTATATACTCAGTGATAAAAGTAAGCGTGTTAGTGGTAACATACAGAATAAATCAAGGCGTTTTGACAGGTAATGGTGTTCACACTGTAGATGGCAACCATCAACTATGAAGTCCAATGCAAACTGATTTCTAGGCTTCTGATCCTTGAAAGTCATTTTTTATCAAATGGGTATCATTTATCGTTACTTATTTGTAATGATAAATCCAACCTAGTGAAAGACCGATCAGAATCACATACACAAGCAAATAATAAGTTTAAGTTGTGATAAACCTTCAAAGAATCACATTTTTAAATCATTTTGCGAACGAAAGTCAGAGTTCCTGCCACTGATAATATTTATAAGTAGTATATAGACACAGACGTTAATATGTGTATCATCTGCAAGAATATAGAACAGCAGGGAGATAGATTTACTGGAGTAACTAAGAAATGAGTGATACCCATGAAAAGAAACAGAAAACATAAAAGCAAGACAAAGAAGCATAATATGGAAGACATACACAAATTATAATTTTAATATATGATAGATGTTGATGTTAGATAGTTGGAAAAGTCAGCAAGAAGCCTTCGACTTAGGTTTCGTTCTAGTCAGGACTCACCAGTCAGCAAGGCGTATCTGAAACCTTGAAGGAACTCATGTCCCAATTGGGGTTTGAACCCGTGTCACCCAGTGTTGCCTGCAGTCAGAGACGTCACTACTCAGATATTCGAGCTTCTGATTTACCTCCAATGGTCTAGTGAATAACGCTTTGGCGTTTGAAACTATGGGCACTGGGTTCAAGCCTTGGTGGGGAACACCATCACTGACTCCCAGGGGGATTCAGGTACATCCAGTGGCTGACGAGTCCTGAATAGGACGAAATGCGCATCCTGGATTCCACTGCTAGTCACCATCCACTAATTAGATTCTAATTACATGACCAGACATCGTTGAAGCATCTGCACAAGAAGCCTACATATGAACCTGAGACCGAGCACTTCGGTTCAACCAGTCGACGGGAAAGTCTAAAATTCAATTAAATAAATATTTATGATAATAGTGATGGCGTTATTCCGGAGCAGCATATGTGATACAGTGTAGAATTCACATGTAGTAAAATAGTCCTTCTAATTGAATCTTTACATTATATAATAAGTTGGGAAACTAAATAACAAGACATTTATACTGATAATAATATCAATAAAAATTAAAAATAAATAAATCAAAAACTTATAGAAACACTGACTGTTTCAGAGTAAGTTAATGGTTTCATACCTAACACTGGTTCTCATCACATACAGTGCATGTCAAACAAGGTATCACTAATTTTATAATGCTTAGTCATCTAACCATAAAGTCTTTTATGACACCATCTAGTCCTACCATATTAGATGCAAGGAAAGAGTTGTGTAAAGAAAGTATACTAAAGGTCCGACAAGATGTTACTCACCAATTTCGTTGTGCGAATTCAAGTGTCTGTCTGCAATACTGTTAACCATTTGATTTGACACTACCCCACCTACCCTAACGACAACAGTAAGTACCTTTCGCAATGTCACAAAGCCTTTCTTAAGTAGGCTAGAACAGATTAACTGGGAGCAATAACGAAGAATTGGCAAAATACAAGATTTAAAAAAAAAACTGTAAAACTAGACACTGAGAGATACCAGACTATCTTAACTTCCTCAGATAGGAGGTTAGCAGAATTACCTTTCTAGAAATTAGGGTGAAGACGGAGTGAAGTGAGAAAAGATCGGAGGAAAGACATAATCCAAGATACAATCGATTTCAGTGCAATTTATAATGCAAGTACCATAGGAACGATACAGTTCATGTAAATCACGTTAATGTCTGAAAGTAAAATTTACTATCTTGAAGGATTTAGCTTAAGATTATTCAACAAAGAACACTGACTAACTTAAGATAAAAAAAGCTTCTCATTTTGGAACAGTCTAGAACAGTCATATCAGCAATAAGAATGAGTTACCAAATTAATAATAACAATAACATCAATGGAAAAACCAGTGAGTAATTCTAGTTAGGCAAGTTTCATAAAAGCATTAAAGGATAAAATGAATTCCTGTAGAAAAACTGATAACACTTTTTTTTTCATATACCTCATTTTTTCACAAACTGATTGAATTATTTAGAAGATCGTGTACAATACATGATGCAGTATCCTCCAATGGATTTTATGAGATATCAGAATGCTGATACTGAGAAGAAACAATTAGCAATTGAAAGTAAAACGAGTAAGTTAACGAGAAAAAAACGATGTCCTTATTACAATCATTCCCTTAATTCCATTGTGTTTTATTACTTTATTTTCCCAGTGGAACATAGGAGGGCTTCAAGCTAGAGGCATGAAGTTTCTGTAGTAGTGGTGTTGATTTCTATGAGATGCGGTTTCTGGCCTCATGCCCAGCCTTTCCTCTTTACCAGCCTTATTACCGGCTTGGAGATCGAGGTGAAGGAATGCATTGGTGGCCGGAGATCGAAGCTTGGATCACCTGTGTGGTCGGCGACCATTCTACCGCTGTGCCATCGACGCACACTTTAATTCTATATTAATTTGGAATTAGTTGTGTTCTCTGAACTGACTGGTTTAATTGCGAAGCTTTTGTCGTCCTTCTGGACAACATCCCCCTTCAGTGCAAGTTTTAGTATAAAATGAACTGATTTAAATTCTCCGTGAATGATATAACTGTGTCTCCTGTCAAAAATTAAAATTATAGCTCCACCTATTAGTAAACGAAAAATCTCGATACGTTAAATCGGCGATTCATTTGTAATAATAATTAAAGGAAATAATTTTTCAGTATACCCACAAATTAATAAACAACATATTTGAAGACATAAAATTCACAAGAGAAGAAGAATTAGGCAAAATTATTCCATTTTAGATGTCTTAATCAGGAGAATTAGCATAGGAAATTTAGAAACACAATTATAGAGAAAATCAACTCACACAGACCAAATACTCAACTATAGTAGGAATAACCCAAGAGAAACTGTGTGCAGACATTGTTTAAAAGAGTTCAAACATACTATAGCACTCAGGTGTTGAAGAGAATAGAGAAAAAATACCTACTAACCATTTTCAAAAAGAATGGCATTTAAATCAGAAAGTGTTTGAAATCAGGTCACAACACCAACAAGAAACGATCATCTAAGACGGCAAGTATATTCATCCTATTATTCAGGGAATCAGGAGCTGCAGATAGACCACAAGCCAAGTTCAACACTCAAAAGCTGAAGGACCAGGCTACAAAGGACATCTTCATTGCAAGCATAAAGGACAAAGCTGAGACACAAATCAACACCAGCGAAAGGTCGGCGTCGAAAAGCACTGGAACAACTTGAAAACGGTGTGGAGCCAAACCTGCATAGAAATTCTAGGCAGAAAAAAGAGACAGGACAAACAGTGGCTCACTACGGACACTTGGAAACTAATAGAAGAGAGAAGGACAGTGAAGCAAAAGATTATCCAGTGCACGACGAGCAACAAAAACAGGAGCTGAATGCAAGCTACAATACACTGAACAAAAGAGTGAAGAAAAGTGCCAGGGAAGACAAAAGAAAATATTATGAAACCATGGCAAACGAAGCAGAACAAGCTGCAGGCAAAGGAGACCTCGCCACACTCTACCAAACAACTAGGAACCTTTCGGGCAAACGTTCGACACAGATTAAGCCAATAAAGGACGACAATGGAAAGTCAATCACCAAAGAGGTGGAACAGAGAAAGCACTGGGTTGAACACTTCAAAAGACTTCTAAATCGTCCGCCACCTACAACACGTCCAGCAATACCAACAACGGAAGCAGAACTACCAGTGAACACTGACCCCCCGACGAAATCAGAAGTCCTGAATGCAATCAAGATGCTTAAAGCTGGGAAAACACCGGGACCAGATGGAATCCCAGCAGAGGCTTTGAAAATAGACCCAGAGACAACAGCGGACTTGATGACACCACTGCTGGAGAAGGTGTGGAAAGAGGGCAAAGTACCCGAGGATTGGAAGAACAGTTACTTATTCAAACTTCCAAAGAAAGGAGACTTAAGTCAATGTAAAAACTGGCGTGGAATTATGCTTCTGTCCATTCCAAGCAAGATACTAAGTCGCATCATCCTGGAGAGAATCAAACAAGCCCTAGATGAAAAACTTCGTCCGGAACAGGCTGGATTCAGGAGAAACAAATCATGTATTGATCAAATCGCCACTCTACGGATCATCATTGAACAAAGCTTGGAATGGCAGTCACCTCTCTATCTCAACTTCATCGACTTTGAAAAGGCCTTCGACAGCGTCGATCGAGAGGTCATTTGGAAACTACTTCGCTACTACGGGGTCCCATCGACAATTATACACCTCATCCAACAGTTATACGACAATGCTGCATGCCAAGTAATCCACAACGGGAAACTTACGGAAGCCTTCGAAGTGAGGACGGGAGTGAGGCAAGGCTGTCTACTATCACCAATGATCTTCCTGATTGCAATTGATTGGATAATGCGACAGACAACGGCAACCAACGAGGGAACAGGCATAAAATGGACTGACACAAAAGACTTGGAGGATCTGGATTTCGCCGATGATATATGTCTGATTTCCCATAAACTGGAAGATATGCAAGTGAAAAGTAACAAGTTGGCAGAAGAAGCATCAAAGATAGGACTTCACGTGAACATAGATAAAACAGAGATAATGAAGATTCCTAGCCAACATCAACAACACCAACAGACCACAATAAGCATAAATGGGAAGAACCTGAAAGAAACAACCTCCTTCACCTACCTGGGAAGCATCGTCTCAACTACAGGCGGAACTGACGAGGACATCAAAGCCAGAATCGGAAAAGCAAGACAAGCTTTCATTACTCTCAAATCTGTGTGGAGGTCAACAGCAATCAGCATCAAAAATAAGATCCGGATTTTCAACTCCAATGTGAAGTCAGTGCTACTATACGGATCAGAGACTTGGCGAGTCATAAAGAGCATCTCAAACAAACTTCAAACCTTCATTAACAACTGTCTCCGCTCAATACTCAAGATCAGATGGCCAGAAAAGATCAGCAACAGGGATCTCTGGGAGCGAACCAATCAGGAACCGATTGTGAAACAAATAGGCAGAAAGAAATGGAGATGGATTGGCCATACGCTGAGGAAACCATCAAGTGACATCACTAGACAAGCCCTCGAGTGGAACCCGAAAGGGAGGCGGCGAGTTGGTCGTCCAAGGGTGACTTGGAGGAGGTCATGCGAGGAGGAGATGAAAGCATGTGGACAGACCTGGAGCAGGGTGAAAAAGTTGTCAGAAAACCGAAGTCAATGGAGGTGCGCAGCTGAAGCCCTATGTTCCTCTAGGAACTAAAGGATACAATAATAATAATAATAATAATATATAAAAAATCTCTGAAATAACAGTTGGAACACTATCACCATTTGAAATACTTTATTATTATTATTATATCCTTTAGTTCCTAGGGGAACATAGGGCTTCAGCTGCGCACCTCCATTGCCTTCGGTTTTCTGCTAACGTTTTCACCCCGCTCCAAGTCTGCCCACATGCTTTCATCTCCTCCTCACATGACCTCCTCCAAGTCACCCTTGCACTGACGACCAACTCGCCGCTTCCCTTTCGGGTTCCACTCGAGCAATGGCTTGTTTAGTGATGTCACTTGATGGTTTTCTCAGGGTGTCGCCAATCCCTCTCCATTTCTCCCTGCTTATCTGTTGCACAATCAGTTCCTGGTTGGTTCGTTCATTGCCAGAGATCCCTGTTGCTGATCTTTTCTGGCCGGCCATCTGATCTTGAGGATTGAGCGGAGACAGCTGTTAATGAAGGTTTGAAGTTTGTTTGAGATGCTTTTTATGACTCGCCAAGTGTCTGATCCGTATAGTAGCACTGACTTCACATTGGAGTTGAAAATCCGGATCTTATTTTTGATGCTGATTGCTGTTGACCTCCACACAGAATTAAGAGTAATGAAAGCCTGCCTTGCTTTTCCGATTCTGGCTTTGATGTCCTCGTCAGTTCCGCCTGTAGTTTAAACGATACTTCTTTCAGGTTCCTCCCATTTATGTTGGCTGATTGTTGTCTGTTGTTGTTGCTGTTGGTGTTGGTCAGGAATCTTCATCACCTACATCTGTCTTCTCTATGTTCACTTGAAGTCCTATCTTCTCCGGATGCTTCTTCTACCAACTTGTTGCTTTTGACTTGCATATCTTCCGGTTTGTGGGAAATCAGACATATATCATCGGCAAAGTCCAGATCCTCCAAGTTCTTTTTTGTATGAGTCCATTTTATGCCTGTTTCCTCATTGCTCGTTGTCTGTCGCATTATCCAATCTACTGCAATCAGGAAAATCATAGCACACAAGCCAGCCAGCTAACACAGTCACTTCATTCAATACTGTACAAACCGAAAGATCCAAAAGAAAAAGAAGATAAAATTATTACCATTTAAAAAATAATTTGTGTGAACTGCAATCAAAATCCAGGAACACAAATTGTCTGTGAAAAGACATGATATGTATTCTCTCATGTCAATGTGTAACAACAGAAAACAACAGCCAGGTAACAGATCGTTTTAGTTCGAAAATCAACACGTATTTATATATATTTTATGAACATTATTAGAGCGTATTCAAGCAGACAAGCGCAGGCCTCTGATTGGTTGTCTTCGAGTTTCTCGGAAGGTGGAGCCATCTATCATCGAATCATATTTACCCACGTTTAAGTCTGCTGTGATTGGTTGTTGAACCAGCCTTGTTCCTATTTGCTCACGGCCAATATTAGTGACCTAGACATTGACTAGGACTAACGTCGACCACTTGGCTAGCAGTCTGCTCTCACCACAAATGCATGTACATAATTATAGACATCAGTTTGATTGAGATAATGTAGAAATTTTAGACAGAGGAAACACCAAAAGTGTTAGAGCATTTTTAGAAGGCTTCAAGCGAATTAGCTACTAAGATACACATTAATATAGACCAAATTTACCAACTAGTAAAAGGTAAATCACATGATAACGAATTTCAAATCCCAAGCCAATAAAAAGTTATCAGTACAGATATAAATCGACTACCACTCGCGAAAATGATTGCCAGAAGACAGAATTCCATCATTCATGGAGAATTTAAATCAGTTCATTTTATACTATAACTTGCACTGATGGTGCTGACAAGAAGGACGACGAAAGCTGCACAATTAAATTAACCAGTTCCAAATCATCCACCTGAGCCAC